AGGAGGAGGAGGAGGAGGAGAGGAGCGGGGAGGAGGAGGAGGAGGAGGAGGAGGAGGAGGAGGAGGACGCTTGCCGTCGCCTGCTGGCTCACGAGGGGCCCGACCGTGGGGCTCTGCAGGAACATCTGTCGCTTGAGGCCCTTGGCCATGCCCCCCTTGGCAGGCAGGGAAGGCTGGCGTCGGCCTGCGGGGTCTGACCTGCGGTTCCGCCCTGCGCCGGGCCGAGGGCGGCATCAGGGGCAGCGACCGTCGGTATCGTTTAACCAATCCCCATCCCCATCCCCTTCCCCATCCCCTTCGAGACCCCCGCCAAAGTACTCCCTCAGTTGGGGATGCACCCCTTGAAACCCAAAGGGAACGGCCTATATCCCCATCTAGGGGTTTAAATCTGCCAGTGGAGCCCAGGCCACGCCGCCAGGATGGGGATCGGTTAAATGATATTCAGATCGCGAGCGAGCGAGCGAGCCACCAATTCTCGAAGAAGAGAAGCGGCATGAAGCATAAGTTTGTGACGGCCGTCTCGGGTTTCTCGGATCTGCGCTGGGCTCCCCCCCTCTGGCGCCATGGAGTGGGTTTGGCGCAGGTCCGAGAAATCCGCAGGGACCGTCGAGAATTAATGTTTATGTTTTTGTCTCTTCCCATCCCAGTCTAGGCGGTCGGTCTATCGTTACTGTCGCGTCTGAACGACAGGCGCGCGTGTTGCGAGGCATTGCAACATCGCGTGAGAGGAGGGCAGGCCGCGGAGGCCTCTGGGCCTGCCCCCAGCAGTGCGGGCTAGGCATCCACCTTCCCGGCCGCCCAGACGGATGAATCGGCGATGCGGCGCGATCCTCCGACCCCATATATGCGGAGCCCATGCGGAAGGTTTCTACACATGAAGGACGAGGAGGAGGAAGAAGAGGAGGAGGAGGAGGAGGAGCGTCGGCTACACGTAAGATCGGCACGCCAGGCACCACAGGTCACTCTTGCGTAGGGTTGTTATTGCGTGTAGCCGGTGGAGACAGAGAGAGATGGATGAGGAACAAGGGGAGGAGGAGGAGAAGGAGGAGGAGGAGGAGGAGGATATACGATAGGATGCTTCAGGCGGTCACTACGACAGAAGCCAGCATGGGAGTGCCTTGGGATACGGCACAACCCTCTTACCCCGACCTGGACCGAAAAGAGGGCCCAGATGGAGGCCAGGATGAGGTGGACGGATGAGGGTGAGGAGGAGGAGGAGGAGGAGGAGGCGGCGGAGGAGGCGGACAGATGAGGGGAAGGGGGAGGAGGAGGAGGAGGAGGATGTCCGTCTTTCCTCGCTGTCAAATTCAAGGATTTCGTCCAGCCTTGTTCGCCCGTCCAGCCCCATGACAGCTCAGGACGTCAAGCGGGGCCGCTGCAAGGCCACCGCGCGGCCTTCTTGTGACGTGTGCAGAGCGGAAGGACAGGACCAGGGCAATTGGCACCACATGCATCATCGAACGTCAGACCTCACCCATGAATCCTCGTCCTATCGCTACTCCTCGTCATCCTCCTCCTCCGCCTCCTCATCCTCCGCCTGGCTCGCCTCCGAGCCAGCGCCACGGGGCTCCTCGGCTCCGATCCTCCACGTTCTCTTCTCAGCGGTTCTGTGGTGACGGGCGCTGCTGCTGGAGGCGGGACGTTGCGCAGGCGGCGTCCCAACCGCTCGGCGGCCGAACGGCGGGCGCAGTACGCCCGCGCACATGGCCGCGCCGCCGTGCACTTCGCCGACTACCTCGGCGCCATCGAGGTGCACCTCGGCCAGCGGCTGCCGCTCCTCGGGCGCGCCCCCCTCGACGCGTTGACGGCCACGTCCGCGAGCGACGCCGACGGCGAGGAGGCGGCCGCCCCCCGGAGGCGTGCGCCAGGTGCTGATGCCGCGCGTGCTGGCCCCGAGGCCGACGCGAGCCGCCGAGGGCGGGGCAGGGGGGCGAGCATGGCGCGGGGCCGATCGGGCAGCCAGTGGCTCCCCCTGGCCCCACCGACCTCGAGATCGAGGCCGAGCTGGCGGAACTCTGGCGCTTCGCCGCCGTAGCCGTTGCGGAGGCGGCGCTTGCTCTCGAGGCCCCCGACGGCCCCGACGACCAGGATGCGGGAGAGCGTGGAGATGGAGGTGACGTCCGAGGCGTCGGGACGGATGGCGGCGGCATGGCGGCGGAGGCAGGGAGAGTCCGCGTGCGCGCGACCCCGCTTCCGCCCGCGCGGCCGCCGCCACCGTGCGAGCCCTCGCAGAAGGCCCGTGCCGAGGTGCTGCGCAAGCATCGGTCCTTGGTGGCCGCCATGGCCGAGCTCCGCGCCGCCGAGTCGGCGCTGGCTGGCGAAAGGCTTCCCATTCCTCGACGCGGCGGGTGCTGCAGGAGGTGGCGACGGTGCGCGCCTTGGCCAGCGGGTTTGGTTGCCGCACCGCCTATACTTTTTTGAGTCGTTCGGCGTGGAGGCCGCGGCCCAGTCCAGCGGAGGAAGGCCTCTTCGGAGGGTCAGTCCCACTGAGAGCTTCTCGCGCTCCTGTGGGAGGTCAGTCCGCCGTCCCCCCAGCCCGTCGGGGAGAGCTCCTAAAGGGGAGAAGTTGGCCGCGCGGGGCGCCAGCCTAATGTTCTCATCGCCGCGCCCTTCGGTCAGTTTTTGGTGTTGTTCTCGTGTAAGGCTTCATTTTCGCCTCCTCGCTGAAGGCGTCGATCCGTCCCTATGGACGACTGAGGGGGGGGGGTCACGGGCTTGCGCCGCTGCGCGTGCCGACTCGCCTCTTTTTGGGCGACTGTTACTCTCTCAACCTCCTCTCCCTCCCCCTCCTCCTCCTCCTCCTCCTCCTCCTCCTCCTCATTCTCCTCCTCCTCCTCCTCCTCCTGCTCCTCCTCTCCCCCTCTACTACCTCCCTGCTTCTCGCCTTTCTCCTTCACGTCGTCCTCCCAAGTCTCATCTCTCCTCTTCCTCGAGGGGTGGGGCGGGCGGGGGCAGAGGGGGTAGTTAGGGCCCCGGGGCGGGGGGAGGGGGGCTCGCGCCATCCCTGTTGTTTCGGCCGTCGTTGAACATCGCGAACTGGGGAGCACGCGGCAATCCTCTCCGCAGCATTGTGTTCGCAATGCGCGGGGTCTTCGCCCGTGCTGGTCATCATGGCACGTGTGTCGCGCCAGGCACCAAGATGTTGCATGTGTAACTCGCCGGGCGCATGTTCGTGTAACACTGAAAGGGTGTAGTCTTGGACGCGAGTTGTTCACCATTGTCCAGCGGTTCATGTCCAGCTCGTGCTTACGTCTGGGGGTCAGTCCTATTTCCAAATGTTCGATGAACGGATCGGACCGACATGTACTCTTACAGTTTGACCGCACCATCGTTCCTCGTGGCCTGTACCATGTCGGCACGAAGCTTGAAACAACCGACATTTTATGAGGGAGTGGTTGCGGATGCGAACATTGGTGCGGGCATGAACACACATGACGGCGTTTGGAAGAGGAGCAGGGAGAAGCGGGCCGCGGCGACCACACGGTCCCCACATGTTGCGCCGGATGTGCCTTGGCGAATCATCTTGCCCCGGGCAACGACAAGGGGGGATGGCTTCAGGGGAGAGCGCATCGACCACCATGTCCCAAGTCCCCCCTCCCCCCACATCGATGCCCCTTATCGTGATCCCAGGGTTGGGAATCCTGTTCCCCGTGGTAGAGGTTTCCAGATGCCCTGGGGTGGTCAGAGGAGAAGCCGCAGCGATGATGCACAACCAGTCTCCATGAGCACCGTTACGGACACAACACACACAGAACAACACCGATGTGAGCAGCTCATGGCTCACAATGGTGGAGGGCCTGCAGGCGGACCAACGGGCACCGTTCTGCTCGACCTTCTCTGGAGCGTGGGAAGAGCGTTTTCACGTGCCCGACGTGAGGCGCCGGCATTGGTATGGACAAAATACGGGTCGCTGCCGCCACGAAAAGCTGAATATACATTCGGCCGATTGTGAAGAAAGATGGGCGAACGGGTCACGTCCAGTCTCGGACGGGCGCCGGTCGAAGAGGGAACCTCCAAGGGCAGCGGGGTGAGGGGAGGGGGAGGGGCAAGTCAGGACCCCCCTTTGGTGTAAGGGACGGGGGGGGAGAGAGGCGAATCCTTCCCCCCTCCAAATTCGCCGCCTGCAAACGACGAAGGCGGCCCGTCTGTCCCGACCGCTCGTCTGTCCCGCCCGGTTTTATGCCCCGCCCGAGCCGCTTGCCCGACCCGTCTTCAGCGTTGTCGTGGTCTCTGTCGTCGGTCAATTCTATCATGAGGACCAGTGGTTCTCCCAGGGTGCCCGCCCCTGTGCCCTTGCCTCTTCGGCCCGTCCTTAGCCGCGATCGCTGGCTGGCGCCCATTTGACAACGAGGGGGTCGTTTACCCTTGCGTCCTTGGAATGTTGGCCGCGCACCGCTCAATAAGTGCGTCTTTACCACCGCGCGTCCTTATGATCAGGAACCACTGTATGACGATGAGCAGGAGGAGGAGGAGGAGGAGGAGCAGGAAGAGGAGGAGAAGTCAGGGGGGACTGGCTCAAGGAAGGGAATCATCGACCCCCTGACGCCCATCCATCGACAATCGGGGCATGGGCACCTGCCCAGGAAGGTGCGGCTTGACTATCGCCGATCTATCGGCGATGCATCGCATTCCAAGTCAATGCCCCCCCCCTGTGGGCCAGCCCCTCCTATCGCCACCCATCGAGGAGGCGCAGGAGGAGGAAGTCATCTGAGGAAGCCTCCGGCCGCCAGAGAGGTCCGTCTCTCCAGCGGCGAGCAGCGCCAGATGCCCATCGCCTCGCTCATGCCGCACGGCACCGTCCTGCTTTTCCCAACCATCTCGTGGTGTTGGGTCCTTGTTTTTGTTGAAGAGGCAGTCGCTGCGCTCCTCTCCTTCTCTCCTCCTCATCCGCTCTCCCTCCTCCCTCCTCCCTCCCTTGCCTCCTCTCTCCGCACGTGATCAACATCACCATCGTCATCATCATCGTCATCACCATCATGGCACGCTCCTCACACGCTGCGTGGCCCCATAGGAAGCTCCACCGAAGGCCCCAGTGGCTGCGGCCGCATGCGTCCGACCCACCCATGTCGGCACACAACTCATGAGGATCGCGGCCCCATAAAGGCTCCACCAGAAAGGTCCCATGGACTGCGGCCGCATGCGTCCGACCCACCCATTTCGGCACACCCCTCACGAGGATCGGCCTCATTGGGAGCTCCACCGAAGGTCCCACGGGCTGCGGCCGCAGGCGTCCGACCCACCGATTTGCACACACATCACGTGGATCGTTTCCCCATTGGGAGCTCCACAGAAGGTCACAGGGGCGCTGCCTGCATGCGTCCGACCCACCCAGTTCGGCACACCCGTCACGAGGATCGTGGCTCCGCCCGCATGCGTCCGACCCACCCATTTCAGCACACCCTTCACGAGGATCTTGGCCCCATTGGGAGCTCCACTTTCGGCCACAGTGGCTGCGGCCGCATGTGCCCGGCCCACCCATTCCAGCACCACGTGGATCGTGGCCCCACAGGGAGCTTCAAAGGCCCCAGGGCGCCGCCCGCATGCGTCCGACCCACCCTCTTCGGCACACTCCTGACGAGGATCGTGGTCCCATGGGGGGCTCCGCCGAAGGTCCACCCATTTCGGCGCACCCCTCACGAGGATTGTGGCCCCGTAGGAAGTTCCACCGAAGGTTCCAGGGGCGCCGCCCTCACGCGTCCGACCCACCCATTTCGGCACCCCCCTCACGAGGATCGCGGCCCCGTAGGGAGCTTCACCGAGGATCCTTGGGGCGCCGCCCGCATGCGTCCGACCAGCTCATTTCGGCGCACCCCTCACTATGATCTTGGCCCCACAGGGAGCGCCACCGAAGGTCCCAGGGGCGCCGCCCGCATTCGTCCGATCCACCTATTTCGGCACACCCATCACACGCTTCGCGGCCGCATAGGGAGCTCCACCGAAGGCAACTGCGGCCGTCCTCGCGCGCGCCTCCCCCGCCCATTTTGGTACGCTCCTCACGTTCCATGTCCCCATGAGGAGCTCCACCGAAGGTCACAGCGGCCGTCATCGCATGCGTCTCCCCCACAGTCCGCATGCAGTATCCGCCCCATGTTGGCACACCCCTCGCCCGGTTCGCCGTCTCACGCGGTTCGCGGCCCCACAGGGGGCCCCCCTCGATCGTCCCGCCTGCCCTGCGGTACTCACAACTGCATATGGTTGGGCCCTTCGCCAGGGTAATTCGTTGACCTCCGTTTGCTAGGGGGCGTCAGCTATCGGAGCAGGGGTAGTCGAGACAACGGCGGCCCTTGGGCATCCTGGCCCTTGGGCATCCTGGCGTTTCCCGTTCATCTGAGCATCCTGGAGGCTTCTCGTCGACACGGCTGAATCCGCGTTGAAACATTTGTCAGGATGGTTTCCGTGATGATTCTAGGATTCTTGTGTCTGAATTGCTTTTCCTCCGATTTGCACCTACACCGACGCTGGCCTCGCCCATCCCTGGGCAAGACCAGCAGGGGTGAATGTGGACAGTTGGCGTCCTCGCGAAGTCGGGCAAGCAGGGGATGCGCACGGGTAGTTTTGCACGCAGGTTGTCAGGATGATTCAGGCGAGCGGGTTGGTGGCGCTCGCGAGGGAGTGGGCGAGGGGGAGCGGTCCCCCAAGAAGGAGGGGGTCACTAGGAACGCATGCTGTTCTCTGAGAAGCCGCCCTGTCTTCTGAGGACACCGTCGCCCCTCCCCCTTGTGTGAGATGTCCTGCGCAACGGGTCATAGTCGCATGACGGTTGAGCGTGGTGCTCTCGGCGAATTTACCGCGGACGCTACAATCCCAATCGGGCCGAGAGCAGATTGGTACATCCTCGGGGCCGCAGGAGAAAAGGCCCGCTTGCATTCTCACATGTCGGGGGCTAGCAGCAAGGGGCTTGCGGCTTGCGCGCAGAACCCCCGTAAAGGGAAGGAGCCGCCCGACGATTCAGGAATCGCAAGGGCAGCAGATCGAGATCGACGCTTGGCACGTGTGTGGGCGAACGTCCCGCCATCACCGCGATATCACTGGCTCCAGCTTTTCTTGCGCGCTTCCCATTGGCGCTCCCAATATCATTGCTCATTTGCTTCCCTGGAGCAAGGTTCCATGGAGCCCCGCGCACTCGCATTGTGCTGTTGTTCGTTGTGGGACAGCGTTGTAGCTATGCTTTCGCATTCCTCGTCTGCCTTCGCTCCCCAAAGGTACTTCAGCCGCGGCCAGCTGTGCAGAGCCCTTGGTGTCCACGCAGCGCTTGCTCCTCAGGAGCCAGTAGAGTTGTGCCACACGAGTCGTCGAGGCGAGCCATTTGTACAGCCATATCTTGCCTCGCTGCAGCTCGGCAGCATGGTAGTCTCTGAACGGGGAGCCGATCCAGGCCGTGGCAGGTGATCGCCTTGTTGATCGTTTGCTTCACCATGCTTTAGCCAGAAAAGACACACCGTTCATCCATTGTGAGGATGCACATGCAAGCCATGACAAGCTGGTTTGACCTGACAGTTGTCTCGCTCGAAGGCCACCATGGGTTGGTTTCGTGGCTGCAGCAGCTTCGCAGCGGAATGATATCAGGCTTACGCCACCTCGCCAAACCCTTAGGGTCTTCCGGCTTCTTGAGCATTCTCTCAATGTCGCCGTGGAGCAACGCTTGCTACCCATCGGCATAGGTGAACCTGGTGGCGGTTACCAGCGTTCAGGCCTGCTGCTCCTTACGGTGCTTCCGTGGTAGCCCGCTCCCAGTCAAAGCGGAGTGTGGGTAGTGATATGTCTGCTGGTATGAGTGTGCCGCGCGCGAAGGTCTTGTTGGTCCCTGGGTGTTTCGCGAGTTGCATTTCGCGAGCATTGTGGAGGCCTGAGGGGAACTGCACGGAGAACTGCTTGTCTCAGCGAGGAGAGAGAGAGAGAGAGAGAGAGAGAGAGAGAGATAACAACAAAAAAGAGAGCACATGGGTCCGGTTCCAGAGGATGAAGAGGAGGGCTTCTCGTTATTCCCAACAGTCTTGTGGTGATGGGTCTTTTTGTTGTAGAGAGCGCGCCCCGCGTCTCTTTTCTCCTCCTCCTGCTTCTTCCTCCTCCTCCTCCTGCTCCTTTCCTCCTCCTGCTCCTTTCCTCCTCCCCCTCCTCCCCCATTTTGGTTCAACCGGTCGCACGGCTCGGCGCCCCCTCCGCGGCGGGCCCGAGCTTGGAGGGGCTCCCATGGCGTACGCTGCTGCTCTCGTCAAGGTTGCGGTGCGTGGCGCTGTGGCTGCCAAGGCACCACGGCACACGGTTGCTACCGTGGCGTGCTCGGCCGTCATCGACGCGCTCTTCGCGCTGCGGGATCGGCTAGCGCCGCCTGCGGCTGCCGCTGCGACCCCCGGTGCCGTTCATGATGATGATGTTGCTGATGCTGCTGCTGCTGCTGCTGCTGCTGCTGCTGCTCCCGTGGCCGTCTCGGCGGCCAAGTTGGAGCGGCGCCGCCGTCGCCGTCAGCGCCTCGCGCAACGACTGCGTGACGCCGCTGGTGCGGCTGCGGGCGCTGGGCAGGTAGGTGCGGTTCGCGCTGCACTTCAGCTGCTTGTTGTTATTGGAGGCGGTGCTGGGCCTCTCGTCGGTGCGTCCGCTGGGCCGCCGTCCGAGGCGAGCGTCGATGATGAGTGGGCTGGCGGAGCGCGTCCCGCGCAGCTGGTCGATCGGGTGGCCATGGCGGTGGACGAGTTGGAGCAGGCTTTTGCGCCGTCTGCGGAGGGGTCGCCCGCCCTGGTGCCCGCTGCTGCTGCTGCTGCTGCGGCTGCTGCTGCTGTTCTTGCTGGTGCGGCCGCTGCTCCGACGCCCGCGGTGGTTGGCAAGGGCGCGGCGGTCGACGCGGAGTTTCCGACCATTTCGTCGATCCCGTCCGCGGACGCGAAGCTGTTCGGTACCCTCAGCTCGGACGAGAAGCACCTGCCCATGCTAATCGGCATGATCGAGGGGCGCCGTGCTCTGGTTTCGCGGCCGGTTTTTCTCCGCCGTCTTGGCCGTGCGGCGTGTTGCTCATCATCGCGATGCTGGAGGGCGGCAGGTTCCAGTGGCCCGTCGCCGGCGCGCCTAACTTGTCGTCTGCGACGGCTACTGGTAGGCCCCCCACTCATGGGGTTTCGCCCTCCGCACTGCCCCCTCTTGGGGGGCGTCGGATCCGTATGTGTCTAGAGTTGCCTATGTGCCGCAGTTGTCCCTCTATGGCCCCGCCCCCCGCCTCCCCTCCTCTATCGCCACCAGCAACACCAGCATCACCATCATCATTTCCATCACCATCGTAACAATCATCACCACCATTCGCATCATCAGCATTATAATTATGCAGGCGTCAGTGAGTGTACGGCCCCTCCCGAGGCGGCCAGATAGTAGGCCAGAGCCCAAGGAGGCCCTGGCGGGAGCGTTAGGCCCCTAGAGGCCCTAGTGCATGACTTGGGCCCTAAGAGGCCCCCCTGTGCAAGGCCCGTGCAGGCCTGGACTGAGTGGAGCGGGGTGTCCCCGCCGAAGCTGTTATGGCTCGAAGATGATCTATCGAGTGAGATCGTCATCTCCGCATGGTGACAGTTCGTGAGGTTGCCTGAACCTACCCTTCAGGCCAGTGGCGCCAGCGCGCCATGGCGGCCGACAATGGAGCAGCTGGGGTGCAGCTGCTAGACTCACGTGGGATCGGCAAGGTGCCGACGTTCTCAGGCAAGAGGGAAGACTTCGAGGATTGGATCTTCCCGTTCGAGTCATACTGTGGCCTGCTGGGCTGGACGGCGGGCCTGGAGCGATCAAGGGGCGCTGAGGAGCCGCTGACCGCGGACGACCTCGGCGAGCAGGGAGTGCTGGTGGGCAGGAGCTTGTACCACCTGCTGGCGAGCACTGCGAAAGGCACGGCGCAGAGCGTCGTGAAGCTATGCCCGCGAGGCGACGGCTTCGAGGCAATGAGAAGGCTGTAGAGGGAGTACAGGCCGCGACTGCATGAGGAGCACGGCCAGATGCTCCAGCAGATCCTCACGCCGACATGGTGGAAGGATCGCGAGGGGAAGGAGCGCTTCACGGAGGTGCTGATCGCTTGGGGCGAGTTGATCTCAAGGTACGAGCGCGCGACCGGAGAGCAGGTCACGCAGAATATGAAGACGAGCACGATCATGGCCCACGCACCAGAGGACGTGAAGGTCATGCTACGCTCGGCGCAGCGCGAGGTGCGCAGCGACATCACACAGATGAGGAACTGCATCTTCGAGGCGGTGATCGGCCAAAGTGGAGTGGTCTCGCGACCTCCGACAGCGAATAAGGGGAGCAACGACATGGACGTCGACGCGATCTCCAAGGGCAAAGGCAAGGACGGAAAGGACAAGTGCCAGATCTGCCACAAGCCAAGCCACACGGCCCGCGACTGTTTCTGGCGTGACAAAGGGAAGCAGAAGGGCGACGGAAAAGGTCGAGGAGCAGCCGCGGGAACCAAGGGCGGAAAGGACGCCAAAGGCAAGGGCAAGGACGGCTACACCTTCTCGGGGAAGTGCGACTATTGCCATAAGACGGGCCACAAGAAGGCGGACTGCAAGAAGCGAATCGCCGATGAGAGGTCCAAAGGCAACGCGGCCATTGAGCAGGAGAGCACGGACCCGAAGACGGTGGCCAAGATCGAGCACGCGGAGTACGAGTGCGGGATCTGCGACGACGACCAGCTCAACTGTATGGCGATGGAGGTGGATGATCCCGAGACGGAGTGCTGCGGCGTGGAGCTCGTGGGGGCGACCTTCATCACGTTGGACCCCGCGAGTGACTGCCACGTGGGGGCGACTTTCTTCGGCGAAGGATGCAGGGGAGGAGATGATCACGGCCCGAGGCTGCTGGGCGCGCAGCGCAACGAGATCAAGATGGACTCCATTGCGACGGTGCCGATGGCGGTTACTGACGAGTGCGAGCAGCTGAAGTTGCTGAAAGCAGACTTCAGGCTAGGTGACACGGTATCGAAGCCAATCCTCTCGCTGCTGGAGGTGATGGATAAGGGTGCCGAGTTCTGGCTGAGCGCGAAGACGGGCATGTGCATGTACCCTGGCGGCGACCTCAGCAAGGGCACCCCGCTCACCAGGAAGAACAACGCGCTGGGATTCAACGCGAAGACCTTCAAGACAGCTACGGAGGCGAAGGAGTTCGCGGCCAGCGTGAACGCAAATGAGCAGCAGGAGGAGGCGCTCGTGCCGACGCCTGGGGCTGCGGGCAGCGGAGCAGCGACAGCGGCACCGACTGCACCTGCGGCTGCCGCCTCGGCTCCATAGCGAGGTGGAGCAGCTGAGGGCGCGGGAAGAGAGCGACTGGCTCGACATCCAGTGGTGCTACGCGAAGGGCAGGAGATCGTCCTGCACCCTTCCAGCCGCGTGGAGGACGCGCGGGCAAGGCTCAAGGAGATGGGCCAGCCAATCTACGGCAGAAAGGGCGAGCTGTGGGCCAGACTCAGCGATGCGGAGCGGAGGCTCACGGCGCACCACATGAAGATGAAGGAGTTGGAGCGCAGGCACGAAGAGTCCGTTCAAGGAGGACCCTCGATAGCACCGCGAGAAGTAGCAGGGCCAGCAGCGCCCACGGACGAAGAACGAGCAGCTCATGAACTGCTGCACCTCACGAGAGCGCCGTGGTGCGAGGCCTGCGCGCGGGGGAACGAGACGACCAAGCCGCGCAAGACCCTCGCGTTCGACCAGAAGGACACTGGGCAGGCGCAGATCACCCTGGACTTCTGCTACCTGAAGACCAACGGCGACTGGGCGGAGATCGGAGATGAGGAGCCGCCAGCGGCGGACATCTTCTCGACGACGCTCGTGATGGCAGACAGGGACACGCTGATGTTCAATGCAGTCTCGATGCCCACCAAGACGGTCACGGACTACGCAATAGCCAGCGTGAGCAGCTTCATTGAGGGCATGCATCTCACGACGGCGGACATCAAGACGGACGGCGAGCCCACGATCGTGAACCTGGTGGAGGAGGTGCGGCAGAGGCTGAGCAAGAGCATCAAGCTGGAGGAGAAGCGCGGGAACCTGAAGGACAGCCAGAGCACGGGCGCGATTGAGGCTCCGATCAGATGGTTTCAGGCGAAGGTGAGGACATACAAATTCGACCTGGAGAAGCGCTATGCCATGAAGATCACAGCGGATGCACCGATCTGGTGTTGGCTTACACGGTACGTTAGCTGGGCTACGTCTACGTACCGACCACGAGCCGATGGGAGGACGTCCCATCAGGCAGCCTGCGGAGTGACCTACAACGGAGAGATTCTCCCCTTTGGAGAGACGGCTCTCTTCAAGACCCCGATCTCCCACGCGAGGCAGATCGCGGCTACGTCCCTGGAGCGCAAGGGCGAGTCGAGTTTCGTGAAGGGCATCTGGATCGGGAAGCACAAGGGGAGCGACGACCACTTGTGCTTGACGCCAGCGGGCTGGCACCGCGCAAGAACATGCAGGCGGCTGGAGCCAGCATTGCGGGCAGATGATAAGCTGATGAAGGCAGCGAAGGCCCTGCCCTGGGGCGCGAGGAGCGCCAGGCCGTGCGAGCTACTGCCCAGGCTTCAGAGGCCGATGCCCACGATCGTTTTGACGGCGGCGGAGCAGAAGGCGAAGACCGAGGCGCAGGAAGCAGCGCGCGAGGCGGCGCCACCCCAGGGGGCGCCCGAGCAGGGGGCGCAGCCAGCTGCAGCAGCGAGCGCGGGACCATCAGCGGCGCCCGCGGGACCTGGAGCTGGAGCGGCAGCGGCAGCGAGGCCGGAGGAGAAGAGCACGACGGATGCGGATGTGCCGATGACACCTCGAGGTCTTGTCAGACCTGCCGACGCCGAAGACTTCGGCGCACCAGGCAAGCGCGCGAAGCACGTGGACGCCATCTCGCTCGACGACCCTATCGACTACAGCATCCTGGACAGGATGGGCACAGACTGCTACATGACGGTCAGCGGGCTGGAGCCCGCGGTGGAGCTCAAGGGCAAGCGCGAGGCACTGGAAGTGCTGGCACACTACGGGGTGCACAGGGACGTCCCGAGGAGCGAGAGCGGTGAGTTCAAGAGGATCAGGGCGCGCTCGGAGCCGGAGATGCGAGGAGGTATCTGCAAGTGGCGGTATGTGGCGCAGGAGTTCAAGTGGATGGAGCAGCGTGACGACGTGTTCGCAGCGAGCTCATCGGCGCAGACGAGCAGGCTGGTGGACTTCGTCAGCACCAAAGAGGAGAACCACGGGACCTTCATCGCGGATTGCGTGAAGGCGCACTACCAAGCGGACCAGACTGAGAAGGTATGTGTGGAGTCACCTGCTGAGTATCTGGCGATCCTGGCGGAGATGGGCAGACCGGCCGACATCGTTTGGGCGCTCAACAAGATGCTACCTGGGCAGCGCGTGGCAGGCGCTGGCTGGGTGGACAAGGCGGCGAAGACCCTGAAGGGAGAGGGTTTCGACAGGAGTGAGTGTCAGCCGCAGTTTTACTACCACAGAGAGAGGAAGATCCTGATCGAGGTGCACATGGACGACTTCCACGGGGAGGGTCCAATCAGCAGCCTGGAGGGGATCATCAAGCGGCTGCGGGAGGTGTTCGACCTGAAAGCGACGGGTGTCATCAGGCAGGGGCGCTACTCGCACCTGAAGCGGGACAGGCTTAGGCTCATGAACGGCAACATCATGATGAGGCCGAACGTGATGCACATCGACGACCTGATCTACGTAATGGGCATGGAGAAGGCCAAGCCGACGAGGGTACCAAGCTCGACTGAGGAGGACCCGACATGGAGTCCTGAATTGGACGAGATCGAGAGGGCGAAGTTTCGCACAGGAGTCGGGATCGCGCTCTACATCTCGCCCGACAGAGCGGACATCCAGCGGGACGTGCAGCTGCTGACCAGGAACCTGAGTCAGCCGACGGAGTTTGACGGGAAGCGACTGGTGAAGTTGGAGAGGTACCTGAAAGGGACAAAGACGTTTGGAGTGCTGATGGAAAAGCCAACTGGGAGCAAGCCTGGAGAGGTGAAGCTGCAGTTGTTCACAGACACGGATCTCGCGACGTGCAAGGAGACGAGGCGCGCGATGACCTGTGGGATCACACAGCTGGACGGAGTGCATTGTGCAGCGTCCGCAAGGAGGCAAGGAGTTCAGAGCACATCCTCAGGTGAGGCGGAGTTCTACGGCGCGACCTCAGTGGTGATGGGCGGCAAGCTTGTGAAGAACATGCTAGAGTGGTTGGGCTACAAGGTGACCTGGGAGCTCGGGGTCGACAGCAGCGCCGCGAAGGCGATGATCAACCGCGAGGGCGTCGGAAAGGGGAAGCACCTGGACGTTCGGGCGCCGTGGATCCAGCAGGAGCGAAAGGTCCACGGACTGATCATCAAGAAGGAGAGTGGAACAAAGAAAGTGGCCGACCTAGGGACCAAGGCGCACACCACGGAGCGGTTCGAGTACCTGCGAGAACTTGCTGGCATCGTGGACTGCAACGAGATGGACAAGCATAAGGAGCTGGAGGCGTGCTCGGAGACAACGAGCGCCTGGGCTAAGCAAGGTTTGTTGGCGACACTGCTCGCGCAAGGAGTGACGGGCGGTGCGACCAAGGCGAGTGAATGTGCAGTGCGAGATCTCGACCAGAGTGCAGTTACCCTCTGGGAGGCTACAAAGCTGCGGGACTGGATCGACGACCACACGACGCTGATCATCCTGATCGTGATGACGACAACGTTCGTGGCAGGAGCATTGTTCGGGTGTTTGATTTGCAAGTGGTGGACGAAGATGGACGGCACCACGGAGCAAAACCTGGTAAAACATACGAATACCCCGAATCGGAGAAAGGAGCTGAGCAACAAGGTAAAGTTCACGGACAGGCCGACGACGGAGGAGAAGGCGAGTCAATCGCCATGCACGTACACGTGGAAGCACACGACGCCGAGGTTCATGGTGCTGCCCGAGGCGAGCCACGGGTGAGAACGAGCTTGCGGCCAATGGCAAGGAGAGCGAGGTGACGTGCCTCGACGAGGCGCCGTGGGGGCGTGCAGGCGTCAGTGAGTGTACGGCCCCTCCCGAGGCGGCCAGATAGTAGGCCAGAGCCCAAGGAGGCCCTGGCGTGAGCGTTAGGCCCCCTAGAGGCCCTAGTGCATGGCTTGGGCCCTAAGAGGCCCCCTGTGCAAGGCCCGTGCAGGCCTGGGCAGAGTGGAGCGGGGTGTCCCCGCCGAAGCTGTTATGGCTCGAAGATGATCTATCGAGTGAGATCGTCATCTCTGCAACTTCTCATCATTATCATCATCATCTTCATCTTCATCATCACCATTATCATCATCATCATCATCTTCACATCATCATCATCACCATCATCATCATCATCATCATCTTCATCATCATCACCAGCATCATCATCATCATCGTCAGCATCATCAACACCATCATGATCATCATCATCATCATCATCATCATCCTCATCATCATCATCATCACCGCCGTCATCATCACCGTCGTCATGGTCGGCGCCGTCATCACCAGCATCGCCACAACACGCCTCACACGTTGCGTGGCCTCAGAGGGCGCTGCTGCTGCTGCTGCTGCTGCTCCCGTGGCCGTCTCGGCGGCCAAGTTGGAGTGGCTCCGCCGTCGCCGTCAGCTCCTCGCGCAACGACTGCGTGACGCCGCTGGTGCGGCTGCGGGCGCTGGGCAGGTAGGTGCGGTTCGCGCTGCACTTCAGCTGGTTGTTGTTACTGGAGGCGGTGCTGGGCCTCTCGTCGGTGCGCCCGCTGTGCCGCCGTCCGAGGCGAGCGTCGATGATGAGTGGGCTGGCGGAGCGCGTCCCGCGCAGCTGGTCGATCGGGAGGCCATGGCGGTGGACAAGTTGGAGCAGGCGGTTGCGCCGTCTGCGGAGGTGTCGCCCGCCCTGGTGCCCGCTGCTGCTGCTGCTGCTGCGGCCTCTGCTGTTTTTTTTGCTGCGGCCGCTGCTCCGACGCCCGCGGTGGTTGGCAAGGGCGCGGCGGTCGACGCGGAACTTCTGACCATCTCGTCGATCCCGACCGCGGACGCGAAACTGTTCGGCACCCTCAGCTCGGACGAGAAGCACCTGCCCGTGCTAATCGGCATGATCGAGGGGCGCCGTGCTCTGGTTTCGCGGCCGGTTTTTCTCCGCCGTCTTGGCCGTGCGGCGTGTTGCTCATCATCGCGATGCTGGAGGGCGGCAGGTTCCAGTGGCCCGTCGCCGGCGCGCCTAACTTGTCGTCTTCGACGGCTACTGGTAGGCCCACCACTCATGGGGTTTCGCCCTCCGCACTGCCCCCTCTTGGGGGGCGTCGGATCCGTATGTGTCTAGAGTTGCCTATGTGCCGCAGTTGTCCCTCTATGGCCCCGCCCCCCGCCTCCCCTCCTCTATCGCCACCAGCAACACCAGCATCACCATCATCATTTCCATCACCATCGTAACCATCATCACCACCATTCGCATCATCAGCATTATAATTATCAGCATTACCATCATCAACATCATCATCATCATCATCATCATCATCATTATCATTATCATTATCATTATCATTATCATCATCATCATCATCATCATCATCATCATCATCATCATCATCATATTCATATTCATCTTCATCTTCATCTTCATCATCATCATCACATCATCATCATCACCATCATCATCATCATCATCACCAGCATCATCATCACCGTCATCATCATCAACATCATCATCATCATCATCATCATCACCGCCGTCATCATCACCGTCATCATGGTCGGCGCCGTCATCACCAGCATCGCCACAACACGCCTCACACGTTGCGTGGCCTCAGAGGGCGTTCCACCCAAGGCCCAAGTGACCGTCCACATGCGTCCGCGCCACCAATTTCGGCGCACCGCTCACACGCTGCGTGACCCCATAGGCAATTCCCCCGAAGGCCCGGATGGCGCGTATGTGTCCGCACCATCCATGGCGGCGCACCTTTCACGCGCTTCGGGGCCCCTTGTGTAGCGCCACCCACGGCACCACGGTCATTGTCCACATGCGTCCGCGCCACCCAGCTCGGCGCACCCCTCACACGAGGATCGTGGCCCCATAGGGAGCTCCACCGAAGGCCCGAATGGCACCGTCCACGTGTGTCCGCACCACCTATGTCGGCGCACCGCTCACACGCTTCGTGGCCCCATAGGGAGCTCCACCTGAGGCTCGAATGGTTTCTTCCACGTGCATTCACGCCACCAAATTCGACATGGCCTCACCGGGAGGCCCACCCGAGTGCCCAGTGGCGCCCCAGCATGTGCTCGCGCCGCTCATGTCGGCGTAACCCCCACGCGCTTCGTGGCCCCATCGGGAGTTCCACCCAAGGCCCCAGTTGCGCCGCCCTCACGCGCTCCCCCACCCCCAACTCATTCCGGCGCACCGCTCACACGGCTCGTGGCGTTAATCGGGAGCTCCACCGAAGACGATAATCACACATGCGTTACTTACAATTGTATATGGTTGGGTTTTTCGTTTGGCTTGTTGTTTTGAAGGTGGAAGGGAATATGGAGGAGGAAGAGGAGGAAGAGGAGGAGGAAGAGGAAGCGGGAAGTGCAGCAAGGGCAGGGACACGAGAGGGTCAACCCTTCTTTCGCACGCAGGAACACGCCAGGTGGGCATTCTGCCTGCCCGTGTCACCATCTTGGGGATCCACTTGGGGACGTCTTGGAGCCCACCTTGGGGTTGTCTTTGGGCCAAATTGGGGCAGTTTGGGGCCATCTGAGGCCGCATGAAGGCCATCCGGGGCCATCTTAGGGCTATTTGCCGTCGGGCAGCCAGGGCCGCCGGACCGTTCACCAGGATCTCTCCCTCTCCAGACTGGTCAAATGGGTTTCCGGGGCGAGGGATTCGGGGGAGGTGTATATTTCGACCTTTTTCCAGCACATGTTTTCCCGACCCTCCTGCGCTCGGTTATTGTATTTACGAGAGCGCAATGTGGTCTCCACTTCCTTTCTCTCTTCCCCCCTCCTCCTGCGCTGTTGGAGGCTGCGAACTTTGCAACTGTCGCAACTTTCGTTGTATTTTGGGAGGTCTAGCAGAGTGGAGGGCCACGCAGATTCATTGGGGACCTCGCTGCTCCTTGGGTGGCTGCGAACTGCGCACTTGTCGTCACTTTCGTGGGCTCCTGCGAGGCCCACAAGAGTCGGGGACCACGCAGATCCAGCCGATACCTCGGGGCTCACTGGGGAGGCTTCGAACTGCGCACCCGTCTTCAATTTCGTGGGCTCCTGTCAGGTCAGCGGAGTGGAGGGCCACGCAGACAAAACCGATACCTCGCGGCTCCTTGGGAAGCTGCGAAGCGGGCAACCGTCGCCATGTTCGTGGGTTCCTGGGAGGCACGGCGGATGTGATGGCAGCGCAGATCCATTTGAGACCCCGCGGCTCGCTCGGGCGCTGCGAAGTGCGCAGCTGTCCTCACGTTCGTGGGCTCCTGGGAGACACGGCGGAGATGAGGGCAGCGCAGATACTGTACGTTTGTGTTCTTGTGTATGGAGCGTTCATACAAGATAGTCGCCTCGCGTGGAGGAGGGGTTGGGTACGTCTCGGGTACTCTCCTGGTGCGCCTGCCCGAGCCTGCGCCAGGAGCGCAGTCCCGCACCATGGCGGCGGCGTGCCGTGCCTCCGCCTTGGGGCAGCGCCGCGAGGGGAGGAGGAGGAGGGGGAGGAGGAGGAGGAGGAGGAGGAGGAGGAGGAGGAGGAGGAAGAGGAGGAGGGAAGGAGGAGGATCAGAAGGACGCACGCCTGAGGACCTCCGAGGGTGTCGACTCGCATGACTGCGTTCGGCCGCTGCTGCCAACAGAGAACAACAACAGGTGGAGTGGCGATGCTGTGGGCACCATCATACACCCTATGCTCCGTCAACCTTGGCCATGTGCCTGATCAGGTCAACGACACGGCACGAGTAGCCCCACCAGTTGTCGTACATGTCGCGGACATGACGAGCTTGCAGTCCCGCATGATGACAGCCTTGGAATCGATCGTGCTGGAGATGGGACGCGTCTTGAAGTCGGTAGACACGAGAGACTCGTCGCAGTAGCCCAGGAATCTCTTCATGTCGCCCTCGGAGAGCCGCTTGGTCTTGGCGCAGATGTCCTCGTAGTTCGTCGCCTTCTCTAGCTCACAGGTAATGTCCACGACCGATACGTCGATGGTGGGCACGCGGAAGGCCATGTCGGTGAGCTTGCCCGCCAGTTTGGGCACGACCTTGGCCTTCGCCTTGACCGCCCCGGACGAGGAGGGACAAATATTGCCAGGCTTTGTGCGGCAACCGCACCAGTCTTTCTTCGACGCCCCGTCCACGGTTGGCTGGTACGCGGTCATGGCGTGTATGGTGGTTATCAGGCCTCGCTCGATTCCGAACGCGTCGTTGATCGCTTTCACCATGGGAGCTAGGCCGTTGGTGGTGCACGAAACGCACGAGACGCAGTTACTGTCACTCTTGTAGGTATCTTTGTTCACGCCATCATTACGGTGTGGCTATCGTCTTTGCCTGGGGCCGAGAACACGGCCTTCTTCGCGCCCGCCTTGAGGTGCGGCTGGATTTTCCCATCGGTCAGGAACACACCAGTGGGCTCGCAGACGTGATCCGCACCCTGCTCATTGAAGGGGATCTCTACCAGATCACGGGTGTGCGACAGCGCCACCTTCAGGATTGATCACCAAGGAGCCCCCGTCGACCTCGACAGTGCCAGCGTAGCTCGCGTTGGCCAGCTTAAGCTCCGTCTCTGGGTCCTTCATGACGATGCGGGGGGCCATTGGTGCCCGATGCGATCAGGGCCATTCATGCTGACCCCGACTGCCTCCCTGGCCACCTTCGCGGATCGGCGACGGCTCGCGGCCAAACCCACGACGCTGGCCGCAATGAAGGAGCACGTGGACGTGGTGTTGAAGCTTGAGCTCGCGCCGCTCTGGACGCGGGGCTTAGAGGCACGCAGAGCTGGCGAAGGGCCCGGGGCCGCCGCGGCGGGGAGCCGCACAGCGCCATGACGTCAGCGACCAAGGGACTCCGAAGAGGTTACCAAACCGTGAGGACTGGCCACAAAATGACGGGAGGAGGAGGAGGAGGAGGAGGAGGAGGACAAGGAGGAGTGCACAGGATCCACCTGATGTCACGTGCTGGTGCTTCTTTTTGTTGTCTCTCGCGCGCCGCGGGAGAGCGAGCGCAGTCCAAACGGGCTGAGGGGACAAGAGGAGGAGGAGGAGGAGGAGGAGGAGGAGGAGGAGGAGGAGGAGGAGGACTCAGGGGCAACGATGAGGGGGGAGGGGAACGTTTTGGGCCTTCGATGCTCAGGGTTTTCTGGCGTTTTTGTGGATTCTTGGCGGTCTGCAAGCCTCGGGGTGCCTTCAAACGGCCGCGCCTCGCCGCGGCTTTCAGGGTGTTTCCCGATCGTCCGGGCCCGCTGCCAGAGACCCGAGTTGTGACCCAGAAGCCAGACGATGACGAGGATCATGGGAGGGGGGGGATAGACTCAGGGGTAAACACACCGACCCCTCAAATGCCCATTCATCGCTATTGCCGGAGACGGACGACGACGAGGAAGGAAGGGCAGGGCGGGGAGCAGGACGAGGAGGGGGGTCGGAGATGAGTTGCCATGAAGCAAGCGGGTCCTGAGGATTCCCGCCCAGAACCCGTCCCCGGGGAAGGTCTTTGGAGCCAGGATCTCTTCTCATTCCAAATGAGCAGGGACGAGGAGGGAGGTTGGAGGATCGTGAGCGGGAAGCAGGTCCATATCCACGGCCTCGCGGTCCCGACTTCTCAGCTGTGGCCCCGTGGACACAAGGGATGCCTCACGCGATACGTATCCCTGGGGTCGCGTATCAATTGGATCGCGCTTCGGTCAAGGCCGCTAAGGCATGGATATGGATCATGTGTTAGTTGCTCGTGAGAGGAGGGGCGAGAAGGTTTGAGGGAGGATTTGCAGGAGGTGGAGGAGAGGATTGAGGAGGAGATAGAGGACTTGGAACAGTTGGAAGAGTTGAAGTTTGGATGAGCATGAGAAGATGATCAAGGAGTACCGAGGAGGCTGGTGCAGGAAGGGGGATTCGGAGAAGCAGGATAGAGGCTTGAGGAGCGAGGATGGCCTCTTGCAGATCAACCGGCCTGTAGCCCAGGTATGAACTGCCTGGCCACGGTCGATTCATGCGGACACATCACGCACGTATCCGTGTATAATGTATACAAAACTACGCATGCATAAATATGTATCGAACACGCCTACGGCGAATCAGCGCCGCCCCCAGCCCTTTCGGAAGCGCCTATGTGGCCGAACGTTGTGGCCAGAGGCCTGCCAAGCTATCGGACCATGTGTTCCCCGAATCGATTTGGAAAGCTTTCGGGGAACATGTGGGGGAGAATGAACATGAAAAGGAAGAGGAAGAGGCCTCTTGGCCAGTCTTGAGCCGTCGGAATGGCGAGAAGAAACAAATGCCAACATCCTTGAAACACTTAGGGACGCTGAATGATTTTGGTCTCTTCGGGCCCTCCTGGAGGACCTCTTGGAGGCCCCTTGGGCCGTCTTGGAGGCCTCCTGGGGGCCTTTTTGGCCGTCTTGGACAATATTGACGCCAGGTTAGGCCGTCTTGGAGGCATCTTGGGCCGTCTTGGGGGCATCTTGGGGGGCGAAGCTATCGGACCATGTGTTCCCCGAGTCGGTTTGGAAAGCCTTCGGGGAACACGTGGGGGAGGAAGAGGAAGAGGAGAAGAAGGAGGAACTAGGAGAAGGGGGAGGATGCCTCTTCGGAGCCTCGTGAGGCACTCTTGGGCTCGATTGGGCCATCTTTGGACCGTCTTGGGGGCCATGTTAGTGCTATCTTGTGCTCTCTTGGAGCCTCTTGAGGGCCTCTTGGGGCCTTTTTGGGACTTCTCGGGGCCCTCTTTGGCCGTCTTTGGGCGTTCCTGGCTCGTCTGACGCCGTCGGGAGCCGTCTTGGGGACCTCTCTGAACCGGCTTGGGGTCCTCTTGGGGCGCGTCGGGGCCGTCTTGGAGGTTGGGCGTCTTAGAGGCCTCTTGGTCCGTCTTGGGGCCCTCTTGGGGCCGTCTTGGGGGCCTCTTGGACCGTCATGGGGCCATCTTGGGGGGCTCGTGGGCGATCTTAGGGCGATCTTGGGGGCCTCTTGGGCCGTCTGGAGCCGTCGGAAGGCCGAAAAGAAGCAAATGCCAAAATATTTCAAACCCTAATGAAAATCAATGATTTTGGCCTCTTCGGGTCCTCGTTGAGGACCTCTTCGAGGCCTCTTGGGCCGTCTTGGAGGCTTCTTGGGCGAACTTGGAGGTATATTGGACGCTCTTGGGCAGTCTTGGAGACCGTCTTGGATCATATTGGGCGAACTTGGAGGCCATCTTGGACCATCTTGGAGGCCATCTTGGGCCAACGTGGCCATCTTGGAGGCCATCTTGAGCCGTCTTGGAGGACAAACCGGGGATTGAGCTCCCTTCTCGGACCCCGGCGGGACGGGCCGAAGCCGCAGGGGAAGTTCTTTGGGAAAGAGAGCCAAAACCAAAACCGAAAGGATCTAGCACGCCAGGCACCCATGTGATGAATCAACAGGGGGCGGCGGATCGAAGACGCCTATGGCGAATCACCGCCGCCCCCTGTCTTTTTGGAAGCGCCTATGTGACCGAACGTTGAGGCCAGGCCTGCCAAGCTATCGGACCATGTGTTCCCCGAATCGGTTTGGAAAGCCTTCGGGAAACACGTGGGCATCTTGAAGGTCATCTTGGCCGCCTGGAGGCCAATTTGACCCTTTCGGGCCTTCTTGGAGGACGTCTTGGAGGGCTCTTGGGCCGTCTTGAAGGCCATCTTGAGCGTTTTGGAGGCCTCTTGGGCAGTCTTGGGGGCCTCTTGGGGTCGTCTTGGGCCTCTTGGGCGATCTTTGGGGGCACTTGGGCCGTTTCGGGCCGTCGGAAGGCAGAAAAAAAGCAAATGCCACAATCCTTCAAAAACTCATGGGAAATCAATGATTTTGGCCTTTTCGGGCCCACCAAGGCGGCCGAAGATGGCACTAAGGTGGCCCAAGACGGCCCAAGAGGCCTCCAAGAGGGCTTCCAGGACGGCTCCTGGGCCGTCCGACGCCGTCGGAAGCCGTTTTGGGGGGCCTCTCTGAGCCGACTTGGGGCCCTCGTGGAACGCTCCAGGGCCATCTTGGGGGCCATCTTGGGCGTCTGAAACGTCTCCTGGGCCGTCTTGGGGACCTCTTGGGGACGTCTTGGGGGCCTCTTGGGCCTTCCCGGAAGCCCTCTTGGAGGTCTCTTGGGCGATCTTTGGGGGCACTTGGGCCGTATCGGGCCGTCGGAAGGCCGAAACGAAGCAATTGGCAACATTCTTCAAACACCTGCGGACAATCAGTGCGTTTGGCATGTTGTGGCCTTCTTGGAAGCCCTCTTGGAGGCCTCTTGGGCCGTCTTGGGCCAGCTTCGAGCCAACTTCGGCTATCTTGGTGGGCTCCTGGCCCGTCGGAAGCCGTTTGGGGGGCCTTTCTGGACAGATTTGGTGTTCTTTTGAGGTGTTCCAGGGCCGTCTTAGAGGCCATCTTGGGCGAATTGGAGGCCTCTTGGGTCGTCTTTGTGCCCTCTTGGGGCCGTCTTGGGAGCCTCTTGGGCAGTCCTGAGGCAATCT